AGATCTCACAATCCACCCCGCTTCGGGCCCAGCGTCCTTACTGACACTCGTTTCTCTCTCCAATCGATGTGGGATCTCATAATCTACCTCCCTTTGGGGACTAGCGTCCTCACTGACACTCGTTCCTCTCTCCAATCGATGTGGGATCTCATAATTCACCCCTTTCGGTGCCTAGCGTCCTTGCTAGCACACCGCCCGATGTCCACGAAGCGAGGTGGACATGAAACGGTGTGCCAACAAGGACGCTGGGTCCCGAAGGGGGGTGGATTAGGGGGTCCCACATCGATTGGAGAAAGGAACCAGTGCCAACGAGGACGCTGGGCCCCAAAGGGGGGTGGATTGTGAGATTCCACATCGGTTGGAGAGGGGAACGAAGCATTCATTATAAGAATGTGGAAACCTCTCTCTAGCAGACACGTTTTAAAAACCTTAAGGGGAAGTCCGAAAGGGAAAGTCGAAAGAGGACAGTATCTGCTAGTGGTAGCCTTGGGCCGTTACAATTCAAATCCATGATAGGAATACAATCTTCCTAGTAGTTTGGAAGATCAATTAAATTCCTGAGACGACTTTTAACCGTCTCGAAATTAAATTTGAACCAAACTACAAGACAATGCACATGGCCACCTCCCATTACATGCCTAGCTAATGCAAGCTATAAAACCTCAAGCAAAGTACACACCTCATATTCTCTAACCCGGAAAACGGGGCTAAGCATCGCACACTGTAGAGCACAACCACGAGCTACACATTCACTAGCATTAAGTTTACGACTCGGTTCTTTCTTAAAAACAGAAGCCAATAACCTTGTTATCGCAGGGATCCTCGACCCCGATCCAACAAGTTCAACCGAATGGATTCTTCCTACAGTTAACCCTGCATCAACTAAGGCTCTTGTACAAGGAACACTAATCCTCTCCAATAACCCAGCAGCAAGCTTTTCAAATTCTTCTCTTTTGATAAATCCCTTAACGTCCTTCTCATCCATCAGGCATTCAATATTAAGAGGTGCCTCTAAATTTGCACTCAGAACTTTCTTCAGCTTCTCACAAGCCGCCCGCAATCTGATAGAAGCCTTGACGTTTGAGTTTACATCGATATCGTAATTCTTCTTAAACTCTGCAACAAAATGGCTGAATAAAAGCTCATCGAAGTCTCGACCTCCTAAATCGCTATCAAATGTATGCGACATGATACTCATATGTCCGGGTTCGAACGATACAATAGAGACCTGAGTATCACAATGACCAATATCAACAAAGGCAACATATATTGGACCTTTATTTGAGATATCTGCTTTATAAATTCCATAGCTCAAGGCTGTTGCAGTACAGTCATGCATGAGTCTCAAAGGCTTTAAACCAGCAATAGCAGCTGCGTTCGAATATAAACGTCTTTGTAAATCCGTAAAATACGATGGAATACCGATAACACAGTCTGAAAATGGCGCTCCCAAGTTTTTCTCGGCTACATCTCTCAAATGTGCAAAGAGCATTGCCATGATCTGAACTGGAGTAAATGTATGAGTCTCCCCTAAGTATTTCACGTGAACCAATATGCTGCCATCGAGGGCTTCAGATGTTTCGAAAGGAAGCATTTTGAGATCCTTTCGAACATCTGGGTCACCATAGTTACGTCCAATCAATCTCTTTACCTGCGATATTGTGGATCTCGGGTTCATTGTTGCAGAAGCAGCACCTGCTGACCCCAAGAACCGCTGCTTTTCCCCAAAACATATCACGGCAGGGGTTTCTCGTTGTGATTCTTCATTAAGAAGAACATCGATACCTCGTTGCCTCGACACAGCAATAACACAATTCTCATTTCCAATATCGAAACCTACCACGCTCATCTTTGTTTGTCAGGTATGGCTTTCAAAAGAAACTGAAAGAATAAACTCTCAACCCAATCATTTTCCAAAAGAAGTCATGAGTTGTTCATCAAATAACTGAATAGTCACCAAGTTCTTCAAAAGAATGCTTCAGAAATCAATGACCACACAATATTACTGCATAAATATGAGATCAACCAATCAGCTAAGAAGCTTGATTCAACTTGAACACAAATAAACTATGAACGTAAAGAAAAAACGAAAATGCTACCATCAAACAATCTCCAAATTGTTGATTTCAAGTAATTTGGACTTAACAAACAATTGTAATACATGTTGAGGATTGTTGAGAGAGGAGTCCCACGTTGGCTAAATTAAGGGGTTGATCATGAGTTCATAAGGGATACATCTCTATTGGCATGAGGCATTTCGGGGAAACCAAAAGAAAAACCATGAGAGCTTATGCTCAAAGTGGACAATATCATATCATTACGGAGAGTTGTGGTTTCTAACATGGTGTTAGAGCCATACCTTTAAATTAGCCATGTACAGAGAATTCTCAAATGTTGAACAAAGAAGTTGTGAGCCTCGAAGATGTAGTAAAAAATGACTCAAGTGTCGAATAAATGGTGTGCTTTGTTCAAGAGCTCCGAAGAAGGAGTCGAGCCTCGATTAAGGGGAGGTTGTTTGAGGGCTTCGTAGGCCTCAGGAGAGGCTGTATGATGTACTTTGTTTGAGAGGAGGATTGTTGGGAGAGGAGTCCCACATCGGCTAATTAAGGGGGATGATCATGAGTTTATAAGTAAGGAATACATCTCTATTGGTACGAGGTATCTCGGAGAAACCAAAAGCAAAGCCATGAGAGCTTATGCTCAAAGTGGACAATATCATACCATTATGAAAAGTTGTGGCTTCTAACATGGTATCACAACCATGCCTTTAACTTAGCCATGTTAATAGAATCCTCAAATGTCGAACAATAAGTTGTGAGCCTTGAAGATGTAGTCAAAAGTGACTCAAGTGTCGAACAAATGGTGTACTTTGTTTGAGGGCTCCAGAGAAGGAGTCGAGCCTCGATTAAGGGGAGGTTGTTCGAGAGCTTCATAGGCCTCAGAAGAAGCTCTATAGTGTACTTGGTTCGAGGAGAAGATTGTTACCCACATCGGCTAATTAAGGGGTTGATCATGGGTTTATAAGTAAGGAATACATCTCCATTGGTATGAGGCTTTTAGGGAAACCCAAAGCAAAGCGATGAGAGCTTAGGCTCAATGTGGACAATATCATACCATTGTTAAGAGTCGTGGTTTTTAACAATACAACGACGTAACTTACGTCCTTAATAAAACAATCAAATTCTTGGTCATTCAAAGGCATATCACCATGGCATGCCATTGTTCCAAACAAACAGCCCTACCGAAGCACAACAAATTTCAACAAAATCAAAGGGGGCTTAATTAAATTCCTAAATTGATGCAGCAAATGAACTTGCATTGCATAGAGTGCCAAGAACATCAGAATTGCGAAAAGGCAATAAAAGAATTCACATAATGGTCACTCAAACCAATCAATAAAGAAGCCTCCGATGAAACCCATGAAGACCCACCTGAGGACGACCGCTCAGAAGCTAACGGCGGCCGGAAACAGCACCGGCGACGGAAGAAGGTATGGAAGAGAGAGTGAGAAGAGATTATCTCATAAGTTAGTGGGAGAGAGAGGGGGGGAGAGGGGGGAAATCGAGGGAGGGAAGAGAGGTTTGAGGTGCAAATGGCATCGGGTAGGCGACAATTCTGGGCGAATTATATACGGATACAAAAGCGAGGCATCGAGATTGTCTTTGTAGCAGCCTCGCAAAGCAGCACCATTTTTTCCCTGTAATTTTGACTTCTTTTCTCTTTAACCGGAGACTTTTCATAGCACTACATTAAATATACAATACATATTTAAATTTTATAAAAATAATTGATATATTACATATAAATTTAAGTGTTATTTCTAATAAAAAATTTAATTTTGGGTACGTTCGTAGATTAAAAAAATATATATGGGTTCAATCAGAAATTTATAAGACACAAAATAAAAAATTTAAGGATCTATTAAGACACAAAATAAAAAATTTAAGGATCTATTAAATATAAAATTGAAAGTTCCGTGTTAGTGTTGTACACTTTTAAAGTTAAGTAGGGCTGATCAGATCCACTTGAACTACCCAACCCAAAACATAAAGGTTAGGTTATGTTAGTTTTTTTTTTTTTTTTTTTTTTTT